ACATGAGGCATCCAGTGGTTAAAATAATTTTCCAGGATCACACATCCAAAAAGTGAGGAAACAAGATAAGCCTATGACCCCAGGCAGGTTCTCTTCACATTACATCCCTTCCTACCTACAGCATGTACAACGGTAAGTGCAATGGTAATGGCATCTCAAAATTACTGATCTGAAACAGGTGTGCTGCTGTGACAGCTAGCACCACATAAGCATATCTTCACGAAATATTTACTGATGGATAGTAAATTCAGAGGGCTGAGTGCCTGTACAGCCTTGCCTCATAATACATTGTATAGGATTGTGTTTGCTGACACTTACACAAAAAGTCCTCAGTGATTTCACTTGACCAACTTACTCTTCAAGCTTCTGCACTGAACTAGACTCCAGACACTCTTTCTAGATTTTTTTTTATGCTTTTGATGTTTATACAAAGGTTTCTGGGGCATAAGGTCAGACTTGAATGGTACTTTATCAATCTCACGCCTAGTGCTTTAGCAGGAATCCAAATAATACTGCCTATAAAAATGAATGTGGTTCAGTCACCATAAGTGCCACTTTGTCCCTATTTGCAGCTTCAGTGAAGACTCTGTCCATTTCTTTTGTTGGGTTTCCCAAGCCCTGTCACAGTCCTTACGCAATTTACCTTTACATGATGTGTTCAACTTTACAATTTCTCCAGCACCATCTTATCTTTTACTGATATTATCTTGCTAGGCTACCATTAATTGCACAGAGGTTTTAGTCGATTATCTCATAATGATAGTGGATTTTCATTGATTTGCCCATGATAGCATTTACCCCTACTCAATAAAAAATTTTGCCAATTTGTACATTAATGAAAGAAAATCCTATTTAACTGGTATGTTTTATATATATATGTGGAAGTTTTAAAAATACTACTGAAAAACTAAGTATATACAAAGGAGGGGCCTTCTTAATATTTAAAACTTGAGAGCTTTCTGTCATATTAAAATGTTTTTATAATAGATGGGAAGGAAGGAAAGACCTTTTACTTGTTACTGTGCTTCATTCAGCCTAACAGTCTTAACAACATTTCATGGTGGGTCAGTGAGGAGTCATGAGGCCCCACCCTCCCTGAGGGGCATTTAGTAGCTAATAGGTTCTGGGGAAAGGGACATTATTTTCCTCCTTGGTGCATCCACTGAATAGTTGCCCTTGCTCCAGTAAACAGACTCCCACCTATGCTTATGCATGTAGTTCTAATCAAACTCAGTGAGTCACTCACAAAAATGTCACAAAAGTATGAGGGAGATTTCTTGGGAAAGAGAAGTTTCAGTGGAAGAGGGAGAAGCTGTAAGAATAATAGGGTGGAAATGACTGCAACTCACTATATACACATATGAAACTGTCAATGAATGAACAAAGAAATATGTAAATAGATAAATAAAAGTCTTAAAAAGAAATACAGGTTGATAAGAGACAGGCTTTGTCCTGGTATGTGTTCTGGCTCTCTAGGCCACTTGTTGTGTGATTGTGAAGTCTCTAATCTCCTGAATTTACAGTTTCATATCTGTAAACACATGGTGATAGCTCATGTCTGGTATTTGGAATGGGATTATATTGTCTCCTTCCTCAAACACACAGCAACAACTAAATAGGAAACAGATTATTGTCTTATAACTACTGAGCAGCTACTTTAAAGTTGCCCCATATATAGGGATTCTTTAATGAGAGATGCCAGCCCCTAAAGCTGAGTCCTTCAAGGCTCAGTGAGGTTATCCCATCCCCACCATCCTGAATGTGACACAGTAGAGGACCACTGAATAGGATTCTTCTTAGTGACACAAGCAAGTGGGTGGATTCAGTAGCAAAGTGGTGAATTGGTCTGTTTCAAAATTCCAATCCTTGACTAGGCCAGATTATTGCCTTGGACCAAATAGTTCTAGTGTGACCTATGGTTCTAACAATGAGAACAGAAAGAGTGACAGGTGTACCAAGCATGGACAGTGACCTTGGGCACAATGGTCTTCCCAACAGGGAGCCGTAGTACAAGTATTGCTATAGTCTGGTTTCCATGAAATGAGGCAGATGCTTAAGCTGCAGGAAGATATGTTACTCGCCTCTACCTCACAGCCAAGAACAAAATCAGTATGAACAAAAGCTAATCTTTGCCCTGTAGCATTCTAAGTGAAGTTTAAGATTATGGATATTATCTTGGGAATGTATCAATGACCCATCAAAAGAAGCAAGTTTTTACTAGATGAGTGTTAGCCACAATATTGAGTACTGTTCCAGTAAAACCAGAAACAAAGTCTGTTTGTCCTTTAACTGCACCTAAACTCAGGGTCAGGTTTGAAGGATGATGATGAGCATCTTCAGTAATGCCATTGGCCATTGATGCATTTGGTAACCATCACTACCCCTTAACATTTTCTATATAATAAGACTTTGTGCCAATAAGATATATCAAAAATATATCAATGATTTTGAGAAATGTAAGAACTTAGGGATAGCATTTCCACTTCAAATTGGACAGCAGGATGCTATAAAACTATTTAAGAAATGAAAATCCTTAATCTTTACACTGAATATACATGGAAATACACCAAACAAGTTCTATAAATTGTGATTAAAAACACTAAAAGTTTACTAGAAATCCTCATTGAATTTTACTTGAAAAAGATATTTTTATTTTAGTATATTGGTAGTAAATATTCCATCTTTCTGACTAGGAAGGAAAACAGCAATTTATAGTATTAAATATCTGATACATAGTTAAGATTTAAATGTTTACTCCAAATTTTTTTTTCTAAATTAAAGCTTATTCTATTCTTGACACTAGATTCATTTCGTGTGTGTGTGTGTGTGTGTGTGTGTGTGTGTGTGTGTGTGTGTGTGTGTGTAAGGGTGTGTGTGTGTGTGTGTGTTAGAATGTGTGTGAGGGCATGTGTGGGGGCATGTGTGTGTGTGTGTGAGAGTGTGTGCGAGGGGATGTGA